CATGTGGGGTCAGAATGTGCCCTTCAGGAGGATAAATCTCTTTCTCCACATTAAATGTTAGACATTAGAATGTACTCTTCTTGTCTGTCACAGAAGTGGCGCAACTGATGCGGTATTGAGGGGAAATTATTTTGACCGGAGAGATTTAGATTTGCCGGTCTTCAGCATATTTTACCGGTCATAGTCCGGTAATTACCGGCTAACGGAAACTCTGCTTGGTTATATTTACCTTTACTCTTTGAAATGTAATTTGTATATCTGACAAACAAAAGGTATATCATTACAACGATGTAAAAACAATGGTTTCCAACCAGGAATATTTCACGAAAGAATCTCTCACTGAAACACATTTCTATCATTCCACTGCTGTCCATCTGCCAAATGAAGGTTTTACAATGTCATGCAAAACATTTCTAGATTCCTCGCTGACAGAAACCAGCAGCTGTGTAAGCACAGGCCTACAGTGGATCATCCTGCAAGAGATTGTCTTTGTACGGATGTTTTTCACTCTGTATTTCTGTTATGAAACTAAACCACAGGAATCTTCTGTACCCTGAGATAAATGTAACCACAGCTGCTGTTCTTTATGAGGCGAAACTGAATTTGTACAGCCACTTTTAAAGCATTCAGGACGCTGGAAATATACATTTTAGAATAGAGTATTACTCTTAGAGAAGCAGTGTTGCAGACATCACATTGTGGAACCCCCCTTCGGCTTGCTGTACGGTATAATATTAAAAAAGTAAGATAACTTAAATAAAAATAAGTAACCAGTCGTACCCTTTCTTCACGTACTGGTAGGCCACGTCTCTCAGACCTGGCTTGAATACGGACACTCGATGCCATGTCGTCTTCTGACTGATGTCACCTGGAGACAAAAAACAGCCCCCCATTAAAGATGGACACAGTGCATTACCAAAAACACTTATAAAACATCTTACTATACTTTAAAATGTGTATTATTTTTTTAACTTTATTAATTTAGCACCCTAGAGTTGTAGTTCAAAGTGCTTTAACACAAAGTAAAGAAACCAGAGAATAAAAAAAAGATACAAATTTGTAAAATACTCCAACCTAAAACAAGGAAAGATTCAACATTTTAAAAAAGAGTGACAGTTATCAGTGACAGAAATCCCACTTCTATACGTTGTTGTGTCTTTTGACAATGTTGCTCATTGTTGTTATAAAATCACATTTTATTATACTATATACTTACTTAAAACGGCTCTTTTGAACGGCTCTTTGAAAGGAACGGAGCCATAAGATGCGGCTCCCTTCAAAGAGCCATAATTCCCATCACTAGTTTACATTTAAACATTTTTAAGAGTATATTCATTAAATAAAATCATTCATTTTAAGCATTTTGCAAACTTTTGAGGCTTAAAGAAACGTAATATTCTGTAATTATAGCCCTGAGTATCACAGGACGTTTTACCTGTTGTGCCTGTGCCTGTCTCTGCCTCTCCCTCTCCAGAGCGCCACATTTCATTGGTCGCTACCGAGAAGATGGTGACGGGGTTACGCCCCTCCACCTGTCTCATCACCGGGTCCTGACCCACTCGGCCCAACACCTGCACGCGGTTGATCGCTGGAATAAAAAACAGAGACCCTCATCATTTGAGCTTCAGCTATTAAGAGGCAAGTCAGTCTTGTTCTCTTCAGGTATACAGGAACGTTTACTCACATCTTTCCAGGATAAGGCTGGTTTCTGTGCTCTTATATCTCACCACCTGCCTGAAGATCTGTGGAGGGAAGAGATCAAATATTTACCGTTGTAAAGAAGAGAACAGGAAAAGGTTTAAAATACAATAAATCTGGTTTAGTAATCTTCACTTGATGCTCACCTGTGCAGAGGCATTTCTCAACATCTTGTCTGCGCTGCACAGACAGCTCTGAGGACTTTTAAGAGAGTGATCTGAACAATAAAAAAAGCAAGAAAATCAAATTAAAAAAAAAATAATGCAAGGAATGCACAACACTGACATTAATGTAAAGTTTCCTGTTTTAAACTATACAAACAAGAAAGGCCTTTTTATTTACCTTAAATAATACAAACATTACATACAATTCAATATTATAGATAATAAAGCTAATCAACACCTGAATAAAACAAGAAGGTTTTAATGCAGGACTGTGGTACTAGACTGCATTACCTTTAGCTAGTTGTACCTAATAAACTAGCAACTGAATATTTAACAGCACAAAGAGGTATGAAGAGGAAGCAATCTTATGCAATACAGGTGCATCTCAATAAAGTGGAAAATCGTAGATTAATTTCCAGCGCTTATGTTTGAATCTTGTTGATTACCGCTTACAGCTAATGAAATCTCATATTTGAATATTACCTAAGAACAATACAAAAAAAGATTTTTTAAATATAGAAATGTCGGCCTGCCGAAAAGTATACTCATGTGTATGCACTCAGTACTTGGTTAGGCCTCCTTTAACATGGAATACTGCATCACTAAGGCACGGCAGGAAGGCGATCAGCCATTGGCTCTGCTTAGGTGATATGGAAGCGCAGGTTGCTTCGATTCGTCTGCATTGTTGGGTCTCGTGTCTCTCATCTTCCTCTTGACAATATCCCATAATGGCACACGCCCACACTGTGAAAAGTACCAATGCCTCCATGCCGTGCCACATTGACGCAGTAATTCATGCAATAGGAGGCCAAACCAAGGAAAATAATTCACTTTGCGTTAAATTAATCTATATAATATACGAGTTTCATCTTTTAAAATTGAATTAGTGAAATTAATTCACTTTTCCATTATATTCAAATGTATTGAGATGCACCTGTACAATCTGATTAAAGATATGTGAACACAACACAGCAAATCCTGACCAAGACTTCAATGTAAAGTTTGGTACAGTAAAAGCCTCCTGTATTTTGTTTTGTTCCAAGTGCTGTAATGTTATAGTTATATATATATATATATATATATATATATATATATATAGTTATAGTTATAGTTATAGTTATAGATATAGATATAGATATATATTTATATATTTATATATATATTAATTAGTATTGTTTAAAGACATGACAAAAACAAGCTGTAGCCTATCATATACATTATTTGAGCTATCCATATATCTGCACATCCTACTCTCATTCTAAAAGTTATGCTTTACATTTTGTGTATGTTTTTGTTCTGTTTACAGGACCTCTTTTCATATTTGTGTTGAAATATTCTAGATAGTGAAAACATACTTAGTAATAAACCTAAGTCGTATAATTGTAATTTTGACATGAGCCAAAGCACAAAGTAAATGAGCATATTTTTGAATGGAGTCTGGTGAGATTATTAGTTGCTACAGATAAGTCTGCTCAGTGTTTGTGGGTCTGTAGAAATATCAATATACAGTCAAAGAAACAGATAATGTGAAGAACAAAATGTTTGAACGTCAACTCAAAGTCAAAGCAGCAACGAGGCTAGGATGGAAACATGAAATAATATCCTTTAGAAATTCACGTTTTTATCAAGGTGATAGTTTACAGGTTACACCAACTAAACACCGCAAATGTGACCGTTTTAAGGTAGAATATGAGCCCAAAAGGACAAAAGATAGCTTATTTAAAACTTACCAGGTGCAACACTTCAGAACAGACTTCGGTAACCTCACGATGTTTCCGGTCCGTCTCCCAGATAGGTCCGGCAATATACCGGAAGTTGACAAGGTTCCGCTTTTGCATTTGTTTATTTGTCATAACGAACATGATATGAATTACAGACTTAAACTATTATATAAAGCACACAAGTTAAGTTTAACTAAAATGATTGGTTATAACTATATATATATTATTTATATATAATATACTATTGATGCATCTGTTTGTTTTTATTTATTTTGTGTTTAGCTTTTTAATCTTATTTATTGATCTTGTCATTTTGTATGTGATATGGACCTTGAGTCTGAAATAAAGATTGATTGATTTGCCTAAGCAAATCATAAATTAAGTTCATGTATCTGTACATATTAGGAAACACATAACCTTGGTTTTCTTGCATCACATGATGTCACATTTGTACACAGTTAAAGTTGATCAACGGGATAATATAATGTACATCATGTTGTGACTTTGATGGATAACACCCTATTTAAAAAAAAACATAAACACATGTATGTTGCACATAAGAATATATAGTATCATACATTTATGAACTCAGCCTTAAAGCAATATTTGGCTGATTTAATAGGATATGATCAAATTAATATTTTTTTATTTACATGAATTAAGTTATTTACATATGTCTTTTGTAACCTTTAATTTCCCCATCTTATTTTTTTTTTTTCACATTCAAGTATCTTATTTTGTTTTTGTTGCCATGTCCTGTTTAGCTATAATGTCGTATTTCTTTATTAAGATAGTATTCATGTATCTATTAATTATTATATAACACTAAAATAAAGCTATTCTCATAATTTGAAAGCTGCTTCAAAGTTATGGACTTGTGTAGATTAACCTGAAACTATTTAATAAATTGAATATTTATTGAATTAATAACTACAAAACTATACTCTTTAAAATAAATGATAACGGATGAGAAATTAATAAGTTAATAGCAAAGAGTTCAATCAATGATATGATGATTAAGGCACGGAAGTTGAACAGATTTAACGGTTCTCATTTACACATACATAACTTGAACGCAACGCGACCAAAATCACGACCAAAAACTGAGTATTTTGATTGAACTTTGTAGGGTTTTCTTATAAACAAGGGTTTCATTTAGAAAACAGGAGAATGTCTTTTCACGGCTTGTCCTTGGCTTCACTGAACCTAATCCCAGTGCTCAGTGATATGAGTTCCAAGGGTCGAGGTGGACACTTCTTCTTGAAAGGTAAGCCAAAACTAAGGTTTACTAGTGAGCTAACGGCGAATACATGTCTATTGAATGTGCAGTGTATTGTAAATGACAAGCAACCGTTCCCATTCTTCAACAACTTGTTGTCGAATGGGAACGGTTGCTTGTTTTGGGGCGGAGTGTCGTTTTTTCAAGTCATTTCAACGCTAACTTGTGGAGTTAAAACGGGTTCAACTAACTGAGGTTAGCGGTCGAGAGAGAGCTAACTCGTGGTGCCTTCACGCTTAGTTAAAACGTTGTATTCACCTGCTAAAGATGAATCTTGTCCGCATTTCGAGAGGTATACTGAGCTCTGTGTATTTTACTACAAGACAACTGCAAGTATCTGGTCATAAATGCCTGAGGTTGGTACTACTACTACTTTGACAGAAAAGTCTAGAAACAAGATAATAGGGAAGGCAGCATTTAGTGCATGGAAACATGTTCATTCACTGAAATAAAGGAGGTAGGCTATAAGAGTAACCTTGAATTGATTATTACATTTAAGACTTTTTTTTTTTTTTTTTACTTTTGGGGTATTTTATCTGTAATAATGCAATCTTTATGACTATATCTTTAATATAAATGAAGTAACATAAAGTGTTAATATTGAAGCAAAGTATAAGAACCTCTAAATTGTACTTGATTAAATGTACTTATTCAAATTCCACCACTAACCAGGTTAAGCCATTACACCAAACATCTCAAGCCGTGGATTCACAGAGGATTCTCCAGCATGTCTCACACCGGCCCCCCCGTTGTCTCCGTGCACCCCTCTCGGGCTATGGTGGACGAGGCGTTCAAAGTGCAGGTGGAGAATCTGCCTCTAGGATCTCCAGTGACCCTTCACTCCGTCCACCAGTCCGAGGACAAGGACTACTGGGAGGCCTTCGGGCACTACTTCAGTGATCACAGAGGCACTGTTTCTGGTGAGGTATCCTCTTTTTTATCTCCTCAAACTAACGTTTACATCTTTACCCTTACTAGGGACATTTTTAGCTTTTAATTTTGAAACAGCTTTGTTTAATAATATGAGTTTATTTTATTTATAAGTTCAACATCAGCTCCTCCTGTACTTCCGTTTACAGCCAAATTGCTTGTTAATCTTTGTTGTATTGATATTTTAATGCTTCTTTTAGTTGCAGATGATTTGAGTTGTGGGGGAACTTACACAGGGAAAGAAGCCATGGGATTGTTGTGGAGTATGCGTCCTGTCCCAGGCAGCCGGGAAGGCCTCAGGTAATACACCTGCAGAGGGACTGAATCTAAACATTAGCCAAGACATTTATTTTAATTCAAGCTCATTCAGGTTAGGATTGCAAGCAACCAAACTTTAAACGCTTGCTTTTTGAATGGAGTTCATATCAATTTCCTAAGCTAATATAAACATTACATACAATATATAATATTTGCTTATATATTTGTTAATAATAACAGTACATTTAATTGATAAAGCGCTTTTTTGAGTACTCAAACATACTTTCATTTCATACAATAATACAAACATGTTTACAGAAAAAAAAGAAAAGAAATGTGAGATCAAATTAAATTAATTAGAAAATACATAACTATCAATAATACAGAACTCATAAATGATCAAATTATTTTATGTATAACATATAACTGCATTTATAAACTAGCAAATTCACTCTAAAAACGGAACTAAATTAAAATCTTTTTACCCGTCAGGTTGAGAAAGTTGAACGTGTGCATCCCTCAGCTAGTCAACATCTCGGTGTACAGTGGACATGTTGGGGGGGGCTTCAGGGAGCAGGATCCTCTGGCCTCCGTGCTCACAGAGAGATGGTACATGGCTCCGGGGGTCCGGAGGATCGGCATCAAAGAGAAAGGAGTGAGAGGGACCCTGTTCATACCCCATGGTAGGTACACCTGCCTCAGCTAAATAACTACCCTTCATTTGGTTAGATTATAGCATAATAAGTGATCTGTTTTATTTTGTCTGTGCGTGCTTCAGGGCCAGGCCCCTTCCCCGGCCTGTTGGATATGTGGGGGGGCGGCGGGGGGCTGCTGGAATATCGTGCAGCCTTGCTGGCGTCTCACGGTTATGCTTCTATGGCGCTGGAGTATTTTAACTCTGCAGAGGTTAACACAGCAGAGTTAGAGCTCACCTATTTTGAGGTTTGTTTTGGTTATGATATTCTATTAATATACTATATTCAGACTTCATGTGTGTCAAAGACAAGTATCAAACATTCTTGTTTTTCTCCAATCATCTATACAGACAGCGTTTAATATCGTCAGGGACCATCCTCAGGTGATGTCGGACAGAGTTGGACTTTTTGGACTGTCCCTCGGCTCGATCGTGAGCATCTCCTTGGCAGCTTGGAGCAGCGTCGTCAAGGCAAGTGACAAATGTAGCAGCAATAGAACAAAACAACTACAATCAGAAGTCTTGGCTGTTAGACATTGTGCAACAGAGGGCTGAACATTTTCAAGTTTGAGATTTGGCCCTGATAACAAACTGTGATAACTCTCTTTGTGTTCTGTTCCAGCCTCGTTGCTGTGTTTGCATTAGTGGCAACCACACATATGCACGTGGGGGGACCATTGGAGGTGTTTTCAATGAGTTCTTCAAGTATGTACTCTGTTATTTTGTCAGTCACAGAACTACAGTACTCAAAAGCTGGACTGATGGGAACAATTATTTGTAATAACAGGAACTTACACAAGGTGCGCATGGATGAGAACAACTATGAGATTTGGCGAGGTATGGGCCTACCGATTCCTGATGATATCTCACAGAAAGTGGACGTAAGTACTTGTTGAACTATGGTGTCCAAGTCATTAATGACACATTTTTCAAAATGTTCGTACGCCTAAAAAGTGCTAACATGTTTGGCTTCGGCAAGATAATCTCCACATATTAACAACACTTTTATAAATGTTGAAACCTTAATGCAACCTACAGAAGCAGAGATGTAATTGAAAGCAATAAACTAACTACATCTAGGTCACATGACTTCACCACCGCTAAGCTAAAGGTGGCTAATGATAAGCATGATGACATTAGTAGTCTCATTTAGGCCCTTGTTAGTAAACGCTATTTTGAACACACATAGAAGCTTTAGAAAACTAGTTGGGTATTTACTGACACGTTTTATGTCGTAAAAACAAAATGTTAAAATCGCTTCAGCTTCTATTTACTGCAGAATTTATTTTAGTCCTCTAATCGAAAGAGAAAACTTTGAGTTTGAGACGAGGGAACAGAAATGGCTAAAATGCTAACACATTTCCGGGTTTTAGTTGCAGTGCCCTTCATTACTATTGCTTTATTATGAAAAGGCATATTGAAGTTGTTCTTTGTGTATTCTCTTTGAGGTTGGGAAAATAAATTGTCCGATATTGTTGGTGAACGGCAATGATGATCAAAACTGTCCCACAGTGGAGTCTGCTGAGGATGTGAGAACACACACACACACACATACCTATGAGTACCTTAAGAAGCACTTCACAAATATATTTTTTAATTATATAAAGTCATACACACATTTGTAAATATTTAATGTTATATATTGAACAGTGTGCACATTTTTTCTTCCATACCTTCTCTTTACATTTTGGATGTTTTTATCTGACCTCAGATGGCACAGATGATGCGTGCAGCAGGAAACGAGCACCTGCTGACGAGACTTAAATACCCGGATGCTGGACATCTGATTGAGCCGCCCTACTCCCCTCACTTCAGAGCTACTAAGTTTTTAAAGGATGGACAGAAAGGTGAGTTATACAGGGTCCCACATGATACACAGGCAGTGAAAGCCTCAATGACAAACTCCCAGGATCAGACGCTACATCACTGCAGCAATAAACAACATTTTTGTTGACTATAGTGAACAATTCTATTTGCGTCCGGGTGAAAATAGTCAACACTACGATGTGTGTGTATATAGCCAAATTGGCAATTTACACCCTGGTTGTATATAGCATGGCAGAGACACATGCAAACTGTTATTTAATAATTACATTAGAGGTTGGCTTGAATAGCCAATTACATAAGGTGTAGCTATTTTCCTCCGAGTGCAAATAGATACATTATTATTTTAGAATACCCTGGTGTTGATGTTAGAAGTAACTGCTATAATCCTCCAATTGTGAATCTCACAGACAGCGTTGTGTGTTTCAGTGATTTTGCTGTGGGGAGGAACAACCAAACCCCATTCAGATGCTCAGGAAGACTCCTGGAAAAAGATCTTCGCTTTCCTGGAGCAGAATATGTACTCCAGTTCTGATCCCAGAGCAAAGTTGTGACGGATTACACAAATCATTCCCACAAAACATCCTTCTTTGTGACGAGGTCATGTTAACTACCTTTAACATGAAGACATGACTGGTTCTTCAATGTGTTGACCAATTCCTCTGATGGATTGAAGAACAAATCAAATGTTATTACTTTGAATTATCACATTAGGTTGTGCCTTTGATCAAATTGTGCCTCTAACATGTGCCATAATGTGAATGAATATAGGTTGTGAATGTGTCAGAAAATGTATGTTATTATAAATTGTACATGATATTAAATACAAAAAGATGATACTATTTTAAATCAGCTTTATTTTGTTAAATTATTAAATCAATCTTAATCTGTTTTTCAAAATAATACCCCTTAATATTTGTTTAAGCACCAAAACAAAACAAGAAACACAGCGGAGACTCATCTGTCCAAACATCTTAAAGTCTATGCATGTGTAATTTTATTTTGATCTCAACTGAAACAATATTGAGTGATCTCTATCACATTTAGCTGTAATTTATAACAGATTTCAAAGTTTCATCTTTAACTTTATTTAGAGTGCATATCACCTAAACACTTTGCAGATTTACAGTTTTGACATCGGACACATCTACAGGTTAAATTATAAACACAGGCAGAATCCAAACAAACATCAGGAACATTTGTTTTCATTGCTAAATATCATATTTTCACGCTACTATGCTAAACTAAGATGGTGAAATCTGTAAACACTACCTGCTTAACATCGCTATTTTAGCATTTAGCTTATAGCAATGCTTACATTCATGAATTCCAGAGAAGATTTTTGCTTCACAGCATCATAGGAACACTTATTAATAAAACAAATAAAAGTCATATTCTTTCTGCTGGGAACTTGAGTTTCACCTGTAACGGCAGCAGAGATGCTTCATGCGTTAAAACTCACTCACACTTTGAGTTTAAACTCACTCACACTTTGGTAAAGGCACACGCTGTCACAGCCTGTCTCCAGGTACACTCGTGTGTTTGTGCGATCATTTGAGCAGAGTGAGGATCTGCTCAACCAGCCGCAGGGTGGGGGGGCTGATCGGGTAGTGAGGGGGCAGCTTCACCTCAACACAGGACAGCTTCACAAAGTACCTGCAGGCAGGACATAAACAGATCATTAAACTTGCATCATTAGGGTCTTATTTTAACCTGATACAACGTGTGCAATGTTGACAGACTTCACTTGAGTTTGTGACTGTACATAAATTACTGAAATCATATGGGTTAATTATTTCCAAATTCCTTGAATGTTGAGCACAGACCAGGGGCCTCATTTATAAAGGGATATACGCTCAAAAAATGGCGTACGCCAGTTTCTACGCAATGTTTGCGATTTATAAAATACTAACTTGACGGGAAAATGTGCGGTCCTCCACGCAAACTGTAACCCATGCGTACGCACTAAGCACAACAACGGGAGAGACGAGAAACTGCGACACCGTTGGCAGAAGGAAGAATGGAGAGAAATATGTGGAAATAAATAAAATGTTACCTCTCATTTATCATATGAAGAATTCATTTTCAAACATTGATTAAAGCCAATCTTAAAATGATTAAACAAACGCCTGTTTGAGACTCCTCAGTGCACACAAAAACATAACTTGGGGAAATAAATAAATACGGATATGTTATTTAAAACCACCTCGAATATGTTGTGTTAATGTTATGAAATGTTTTCTCATAAATGATGCGGTAAGCAGAAGGACAGAATTACGTCTAAACTGACGCCGTTTTGCATTTCTATAGGTTGTAGATACGAGCATGGTTTTATATACTATCACGTTTAATCGTGTTTTATGCCGTTTGCCAAGACTTGATAAGTCGCTCGTAAAACACAGGAGGTATGGAAACTAAGAACACCATATGCGGTAAATTGTACAGCTAATATAACACAACACATTAGTTGTATTTCCTTTAACTGGTGGATTATGGATATATAGTTGCTGATCGACAGCTGGAACACACACCACCAAATACAACAAAATAATTCAGATCCAGTCGTCATGACTCCACTCCGGAGGGATTCCCCGATCATTTCTTACAGTTTCTCATCAAGGGGGTGTCTCCTGTCCCCGGGACAAACACACTGCCTGAGGAAGGTTATGTGTATTTTTTTTGTCATTAACTTTTTTCGGACCACTTATTAATTTATTTTGGTGACGATCCGACCTCCATGCTGCTACTCTGGTTCAAACTGCATCCACCAAACAATATGATTTATCTCGACCTCCCCAAAATAACCAAAATCTGACACGGTGTGAGATGTCTTTTTTAGCTGTTCGGTCGTCATTTCCTGCGATCTTCTTCATGCAGTCAGTCAAAAATGAATGAATGAATGGGCGTTTCTTTGACTATTTATAGGCAAATATGGGCGTTACGTGAAGCCTGCAAAAGCTGCGCCGCATTTCGAGTCGATTGTGATTTATAAAGGGAAACAGGCGTATGAAGTGCCGGTACGCACTTCCCTCACCGGTACGCAATGTTTTGTGAATCGGAAAATGTCGGAAAATTTCTGTACCTATTTTTTTGCTTTGTACTACGTAAGCAACCTTCTCACGTCAATCCTACGCAAGGCGTTATAAATGAGGCCCCTGAACTCCTCCCTGAAGTGAGATCTGAGGTGCTGAGCGAGCAGGTTGTTGTACTGCAGGCAGGCCAGCAGGAGGCGACAGCGCTGGAAGAGCAGCACCGACTGAGAGGGAGCGAGGGGGGAGTCCTGCAGGTCGGACAGAACCACAACCACCTGCTGGGCCTGGTGACTGATGAAGGACATCTGCAGAGAGGAGAAGGATGAGGAGTGTGTTGTGCACAAAATAATCAGCATGTAGCAGTGAAGTTCTATATGTGTCTGGCTTTTATGGTTAGCTTTCAAATGTGTGACTTTCCGAATTTAACTTTGCCCATGTTACATTTACATTTTGGAAAAGTGCACGGACATCTTCCCCTTTAGTAAAGGAATGTGAAAACACCTCTCAAACAATAGTAATGATATACTTTATTGATTTCATTTGTGCACTGTTCATGCAAGACATGCAGCCCAAAGTGCTTTACATTAACAACAGAATAAAGACAATAAACATATTGAGTGTTTTTTCTCTATGCTGGTGAAAAACTACACAGATACAAGTCAGTGTAGTCAGGGTTTTACATTAAGTGGACATAATTAAAAGTTATTGCCATATTAGGAATGAAAGTTTACACTATCCACTAAAGAGAAGATGTCTCACTCTTTCAAAGTTTTAAGAACCAAAATAAAAAAGATTTTACTAATCTCATCGAATTATAATTATTTTGCGCTAATATTCCCAATGCTGGTTACATTTTGAGGCTACAACCGTTACATTTTTCATGCTAATAAGAAAGAGATAAGGAGAGAAAACTGATCTGATAACAGTGTTGTTAGAGCCTAGCTTTTGTAGGAGAGAACGAGCAGTATGTCATTGAAAAAACACAGTAAATGACAGTAAAAAAGGACTGGCAGTATTTGAGTAACAGTAAGGAAGTTTACCAGGGGCCTCATTTATAACGCCTTGCGTAGGATTGACGTAGGAAGGTTGCTTACGTAGTACAAAGCACAAAAATAGGTACAGAAATTTTCCGCCATTTTCCGATTCACAAAACGTTGCGTACCGGCGAGGGAAGTGCGTACGGCACTCCCTACGCCTGTTTCCCTTGATAAATCACAATCGACTCGTAACGCCCATATTTGCCTATACATAGTCAAAGAAACGCCCATTCATTCATTCATTTTGACTGACTGCATGAAGAAGATCGCAGGAAATTACGATAGAACAGCTAAAAAAGACATCTCACACCGTGTCAGATTTTGGTTATTGTGGGGAGGTCGAGATAAATCATATTGTTTGGTGGATGCAGTTTGAACCAGAGTAGCAGCATGGAGGTCGGATCGTCACCAAAATAAATAAATAAGTGGTCCGAAAAAAGTTAATGACAAAACAAATACACATAACCTTCCTCAGGCAGTGTGTTTGTCCCGGGGACAGGAGACACCCCCTTGATGAGAAACTGTAAGAAATGATGGGGGAATCCCTCCGGAGTGGAGTCATGACCAGTGGCGGCCGGTCCATAGGGGCGCTAGGGGCGCCGCCCCACCTCTTCCCATATTGAAAAAAAATAAAAATAATAATAATTAAAATTAAAATTAAAAAAAAAAAATATGTTTAAAAAAAAATATATGTTTTTATTTTTATTTTTAATGAACAAGGTAAATATTATATAATTGGTATCAGTAAAATGTATAATCTACAATAAAATCTCGTTTAAAATTGTGTTACGATGTCTAAAGTTACTGATAAGTCACATGTTTCCTGCCTGGCCTTGCCCATGCACCTTCTCTCGTCTGGGCGCTAAGAGAGGAGCCTTCAACCAGTGCAGCATCAGCCACTAGCAGCTGACTGTTGCTATCTGTAACGTGTAAACTATGCCGCGAAAATATAATTTCAGCCAATCAGCGTCGTCAAAGATGACGGTCACCAGGCGCCAATGTCAGCGCCCAGTGCAGTCTGTGAGTAGTTTGGACAGTGACTCGTATCCGGTTGACGCAGTAGTTGATGAGGATGGCTTCGTGTGCAGGTGGAGTCTCCGGACCTCGGTCCCCGGCTAATTCTGTTCAAGAGCTAATCTCCAATCCTTTCGAAAGGAGAAGTTTGGCAGATAAATTGTTGCTTAAAGACCTTGCACCGGACCAACCCGATTTGAATATATCGCAGCAATCTCGTGAAAAAGACAACATTTATACACGAGGCTTCACAAGTAGCTGGTACACAAGAAAGGCTTGGCTAGCTGGATGCAAACAGGTAAATGCTGTCTTTTGTTTCCCATGCTTGGATATCACTTTATATGTAGAGAGGAGGTTTCCCATGGTTGTTAGAAGTTTATTAATAAGTGGGCATTTATCACAGAAGTGATTGTTCTGTCTCCACGTTTGTTGCATTGTCTGTGATGTATTTTCCAACGGTTATAGCTCCTGTTCTGTCCCAGCAACACTACACGGTTTGCAGCTCCACCACATTTTTGGTTTATCTTCGGTGTCGCTTAAAATCTGCTTCCCATCGGACTAAAACCTCCACGTAATCTGAAGACAGATACTTGAAGTTATTTAAACCTTTTGCAAACTTTATGTTCTTTCTTGCTCTAGCCTTGCCAGTTACATTGTACATAACACATATATTATCATTATGCTAACTGGTTGTTCGTGTTAGACGATGTAGCTTTTTCATTTCTGAGTTATTGCTATATGTAAATAAGCCTGTTTGTAAATAATCCTCAGAGAAACAAAGAAAAAACACAATTTATGACATTTTGTGCTGTGGTTATTTTTTTTAAATTGCATTTATTCACAGTTCAGTTTGAAATGCTGTAGTGACTTGTATTGAACCACTTAAATATTTATAATTAATGCTACTGAAAAGATGCTATTAATTTTATATCTCACATGCAGTTCACTGTAAAGCTACTTGGTGAAGGTGTTGGTTCATAAAACATGAACAGTTTTAAGAAAGAAAAAAACAGACCAGTTCTGAGAACACAAATTCCTGGTAAAGTAGTAGATGTTGAGGTTGATAAATAATATTTTCCACACTGAAGATTATGGAGGTATTGATCAGTCTTCTCATATTTTTAAGCCTCGATTTCTCCTTTCCCCCCCCCCTCTAACATCACCAGAAGTCATCATTTAAGGGGTCATTTCTCGAAAACAATTTCCGGGGGGAAACCCCCCGGACCCCCCGGGTAGGTCACTTACGGTACGTCAAGAGCCCCACCAAAAAAAAAGACCACCGGCCGCCACTGGTCATGACGACTGGATCTGAATTATTTTTGTTGTATTTGGTGGTTTGTGTTCCAGCTGTCGATCAGCAACTATATATCCATAATCCACCAGTTAAAGGAAATACAACTAATGGATTGTGTTATATTAGCTGTACAATTTACCACATATGGTGTTCTTAGTTTCCATACCTCCTGTGTTTTACGAGCGACTTATCAAGTCTTGGCAAACGGCATAAAACACGATTAAACGTGATAGTATATAAAACCATGCTCGTATCTACAACCTATAGAAATGCAAAACGGCGTCAGTTTAGACGTAATTCTGTCCTCCTGCTTACCGCATCATTTATGAGAAAACATTTCATAACATTAACACAACATATTCGAGGTGGTTTTAAATAGCATATCCGTATTTATTTATTTCTCCAAGTTATGTTTTTGTGTGCACTGAGGAGTCTCAAACAGGCGTTTGTTTAATCATTTTAAGATTGGCTTTAATCAATGTTTGAAAATGAATTCTTCATATTTGATAAATGAGGTAACATTTTATTTATGGTATTATTTCCACATATTTCTCTCCATTCTTCCTTCTGCCAACGGTGTCGCAGTTTCTCGTCTCTCCCGTTTGTGTGCTTAGTGCGTACGCATGGGTTAGAGTTTGCGTGGAGGACAGCACATTTTCCCGTCAAGTTAGTATTTTATAAATCGCAAACATTGCGTAGAAACTGGCGTACGCCATTTTTTGAGCGTATATCCCTTTATAAATGAGGCCCCTGGTGAGGATGAGGCTGCAGGACTCGGAGGATCCAGCCAACAGACAGGAAGTTCTCTGTCAGGGAACATCTGCTGGCCTAAAACACAGAAAGGTTACAGATACGTGTAGAGTCACCGGCTGACACCATGTTTGGATTCACCCTTGCAAACTCAAGAGGTTTAACATTTAACAAATAAGAATATATTTAGTATATATACAGTGGCGGCCGGTGGTCTTTTTTTTTGGTGGGGCTCTTGACGTACCGTAAGTGACCTACCCGGGGGGTCCGGGGGGTTTCCCCCCGGAAATTGTTTTCGAGAAATGACCCCTTAAATGATGACTTCTGGTGATGTTAGAGGGGGGGGGGAAAGGAGAAATCGAGGCTTAAAAATATGAGAAGACTGATCAATACCTCCATAATCTTCAGTGTGGAAAATATTATTTATCAACCTCAACATCTACTACTTTACCAGGAATTTGTGTTCTCAGAACTGGTCTGTTTTTTTCTTTCTTAAAACTGTTCATGTTTTATGAACCAACACCTTCACCAAGTAGCTTTACAGTGAACTGCATGTGAGATATAAAATTAATAGCATCTTTTCAGTAGCATTAATTATAAATATTTAAGTGGTTCAATACAAGTCACTACAGCATTTCAAACTGAACTGTGAATAAATGCAATTTAAAAAAAATAACCACAGCACAAAATGTCATAAATTGTGTTTTTTCTTTGTTTCTCTGAGGATTATTTACAAACAGGCTTATTTACATATAGCAATAACTCAGAAATGAAAAAGCTACATCGTCTAACACGAACAACCAGTTAGCATAATGATAATATATGTGTTATGTACAATGTAACTGGCAAGGCTAGAGCAAGAAAGAACATAAAGTTTGCAAAAGGTTTAAATAACTTCAAGTATCTGTCTTCAGATTACGTGGAGGTTTTAGTCCGATGGGAAGCAGATTTTAAGCGACACCGAAGATAAACCAAAAATGTGGTGGAGCTGCAAACCGTGTAGTGTTGCTGGGACAGAACAGGAGCTATAACCGTTGGAAAATACATCACAGACAATGCAACAAACGTGGAGACAGAACAATCACTTCTGTGATAAATGCCCACTTATTAATAAACTTCTAACAACCATGGGAAACCTCCTCTCTACATATAAAGTGATATCCAAGCATGGGAAACAAAAGACAGCATTTACCTGTTTGCATCCAGCTAGCCAAGCCTTTCTTGTGTACCAGCTACTTGTGAAGCCTCGTGTATAAATGTTGTCTTTTTCACGAGATTGCTGCGATATATTCAAATCGGGTTGGTCCGGTGCAAGGTCTTTAAGCAACAATTTATCTGCCAAACTTCTCCTTTCGAAAGGATTGGAGATTAGCTCTTGAACAGAATTAGCCGGGGACCGAGGTCCGGAGACTCCACCTGCACACGAAGCCATCCTCATCAACTACTGCGTCAACCGGATACGAGTCACTGTCCAAACTACTCACAGACTGCACTGGGCGCTGACATTGGCGCCTGGTGACCGTCATCTTTGACGACGCTGATTGGCTGAAATTATATTTTCGCGGCATAGTTTACACGTTACAGATAGCAACAGTCAGCTGCTAGTGGCTGATGCTGCACTGGTTGAAGGCTCCTCTCTTAGCGCCCAGACGAGAGAAGGTGCATGGGCAAGGCCAGGCAGGAAACATGTGACTTATCAGTAACTTTAGACATCGTAACACAATTTTAAACGAGATTTTATTGTAGATTATACATTTTACTGATACCAATTATATAATATTTACCTTGTTCATTAAAAATAAAAATAAAAACATATATTTTTTTTTAAACATATTTTTTTTTTTTAATTTTAATTTTAATTATTATTATTTTTATTTTTTTTCAATATGGGAAGAGGTGGGGCGGCGCCCCTAGCGCCCCTATGGACCGGCCGCCACTGTATATATAGTTTGATTGTTATAGACCTGCAAATGTTTTTAATTCAAAACAGGATCACATACTAATACGTTTGATTCGTATGTGGAGGTAAGGTAGCAACCATCATTTATGTATGTCGACCTACAGTTAAAACTCACCTCGTGGCCTAAAAGCAGCAGCTCGAAGAGCAGAGAGCAGGCAGAGTCCAGATACTCCGCTAGTAAGGCCTGAAGCTGACAGAGAAGGACAAGGGTTACATTAAAACAGATTACATAAATAATATTTATGATATATATTTGAGCAGAGAGCCGCTGACCTCACAGTCTACCAGAGACCTTTGCTTCTGTGTTTGTAATTCTGCATCACAAATCAAGGCAAGCAGCATTCTGGAGGCCAGGGCACCTCTGCAGGGAGAGAGAAAAAAGGGAGTTTACAACAGGATAAAAATGTATTTAGATATTTATATACATTTGAAATATTTAGAGCACAGGTGGGATGCTTACTTTTTGGCAGAGAGCAGGTTGAATCTGGCTGGTTCGACCTCCGTCTCTCTGAACATGACGGCGAGCGTCTGCACGATCAGAGTGCTTAGTCTGTGCAGAAACATCGAGCTGGTGTTAGACTCAGAGCATTTATACAACATACATAATACAATTACTCTCTGGACCAACAAATCTTCTCTTTAGCCCGAATTATTTGTGCACGTGGTTGACTTAATAAATTAACACAGAACTTAACTTATAGGATGACACTGAACATATTTCAGTGTCATCTGAAATATGTTCTCACTGCTGACTGTTTTAAAAGTATGCTGTTGTGTTTTAATCCTATTAAAGAAATATATACAGTCAATACAATTCGTTTCCATTTGGTTGACAAACAGGAAGCAGGGAGATAAATATAGGAATATGAACACAAACACACCAAGCCTTCTGCCTTCTAAAATAGCCATAAGTGTGTTGTGTAAAATCAAAGCAGCTTACAATCTCAGATCACACACAATCCTGCACACACACACACACTCTTACAGTAATTGATCTGCCGTGTAGACTCCATGGAGGCTCTGACAGCCGTGCAGAGATTCTTCCAGAGTCTGAACCAGGAACACGCACACCTCACTGGACTGAAACACAACATGACAAATCTCTACTGAAGTTTATTCTGGATGTGGAACACACTCACATTTGTCTGAATGTAAGTGTGTCTTTGTGAGGACATTTTGTATAGCAAGTATAGTTATTAATACTTCTTCCAACAGGAAAAGAGCTTTGACCACATGTCTGGACACTTAATATTTATTAGGATTTCTTTATCTTGAAACTGCAAATAGATATGTTGAGCTAGTGGAAGGCAAGCAGAGGAGCAAAAAATGGAATTCCCAATACTATAAAGTACGGGGCCGCAACCATTTTCTTTCCCTTATCAATAATCAATTAATAGATTGGTCCAGAAAATGTAAAGACACATGTAGCAAAAATGCAATTATTCTAGAATATGTTGCGTTGTTATTAGTTAGTGTGACTGTTGGAGCCCTCACCCTCCAGAAGAGTCGGCGCAGAGCGATGTTGCGGTGCGCGGCGGTGCTCAGCTCCTGCAGCAGCAGGTACAGACTCTCCACTCCGATCCCCTCCTGCAGCAGCTCCGAGCTCAGCTGAGCAAACAGGTGAGCAGTCCGCTCCCAGCTGCACACACACAGGTTTACAAAATGTCAGAAAATAGTGAAAATGTTCATCCAAGTTTCTCAAAATCCTAGGTGATGTTATTTAAAGTCAGGCAATCTCATCCGCTTTGAAATTGTGTAAATTCTAAGTTAATGTAATAGAGGAAAACCTGTGAAAGAACCAGTGAAATGATTATCAAATGTCCAGCAGAAGATTTTTTTCACATGTCTATGAGATAAACTAAAGATTCTTCCTGTTAGAGCCCTGTATTGTGTATCAAGTGTGTTGTTACCTGATGCCAGGAAGTGCTTTTCCAGGAGAAGAGTCAGACGAGGCACTGCACCTCCTTCTGTGGAGCGGGTCTAATGACAGAGTGGACCTCTGAACACACACACACACACACACACACAAGGACCATAAACAAACAAATATAGGTACATATATATTGCTTTTCAAAAGGGATGAATAGCAAATAATCCAATAATGTCAGAAACATTTCTCAAATAGCTTTTGAGGTGAACATGGTGTTAACGAATTTGTTAGGCCTTAAAGTGGACCTCCACTGAAATACACATCAAAAATGATTCAGTGGGCCTATGTAAAGCATTGTGGGTAATGTAGGCACCAAGTTTTGACAAGGAAGTTGAATGAGTGTAATAAAAAAAAATGTGATTCTTTGATTTTTTAAGTCTGTTCATTTATTGGGAGTGCAATGCTAAATGGGTGAGAGGCTTTAATAATGATCCCTCACAATAATGAAGCTGTTCCATGAGCTCTGCAGGTGGAGGTAGAGTCTGGACGTAGGTGACACTGCGTACAGATGCAGCTCGGCCTCCCTCTCCTCTCCACTGTTCACACAGTCTCTTCCCAACAGGCGAGACAAAACTGTAATGAGCCTCCTCGGTACCTGAACACAACACACACGTCATGTTCTGTATTCTTAAATGATTGAATCCAAATGCAGAAAAAGGGTTTTGAAGGGGGTACCTGGCCTGTGTCGGAGTGGAACAGTCTATGATTGGAGGTGGGGGAGTAGAGGGAGGAGGCTGTGGGGGGGGGGTGAGGGACCCTCAGGAGGCCCAAAGTGTCGGCGTTTGGACAGGAGGCAGAACGCGGCGGCGGTAACATGTGATGCTCTGTCACACTTTCACTGGGGCTCCTGATGGAGAGGAAAGAGATGGAGGAGGTTAACTTTAACTTAACGTGGATAGAAAAGCATGAGTTTTACTAATACTAACTGTACTAGCTCTAAAGGATACAGTGAGTGCTATATTGAGAAAAGGTAATACAGTACAGTGAGCTCCAATGGCTTAATTTTAAGGGATCTTTGTTGCATCACTCTCTCATTTCCTGACTTCCTTCTACTGCCTACAGAGAATACAAATCATTTCCTCCCAGAACATACAGTAAGGCACTGTCATAATAATGTGTTGATGTGCATTTACTAGTTTGTACAGGTCCTGAACTGACCCTGCACAGAACCTTCTAACCTCACACGATCTACTCTGCAATCATTTTTTAACCTTTATTAACAAGGAGTGTTTCCCATTGAGATTCAATTTCACAATGTGCATAAAGCAACAGGCATCAAGCTAAACAACAAGAAGTTAAAAACAACCAATTGCCCTTAAAAGAAACTAACCACGGTAATAAAACAGCATTTTACATAAAACAATGACATATTAAGTAACAAGACGTGTGCAATAAGCGGTCAGATAGTCCTTAATCCTGAGTTTATAATCTTCAATGGTTATAAAGTCATCTCATTTGTATCTAATTGTCTCTGCAGTTTACACCAAGTGGTCTGATGAACACAATTTAATTTGCAAGTAGTAAACATGGGATTATTTCCACCACCATCCCACCAGCAGCCTGCTCAGTGATTTGAAGGTAATGATTTCAAAGGCTGTAAACTGCTTTCATGTCCCTAAAGATCCATCATCACTTCCTTTGGGGTGTGTGTGTGTGTGTGTGTGTGTGTGTGTGTGTGTGTGTGTGTGTGTGTGTGTGTGTGTGTGTGTGTGTGTGTGTGTGTGTGTGTGTGTGTGTGTGTGTGTGTGTGTGTGTTAAATGACCTCCCAGGGGTGAACTACACTCAGGCAGAGAGACAGATGAGCATTAGACAGCAGCATTTGCACTTTCCTGAGTTAACATCACACACACCGTCGAAAAATCAGTGCGGCATTTGTTGTAACCAGGCAACAAGTCAGTGTTCAATAAGCGTAAATCACTTCCTGTTACCTGACTGACGCACGAACACAAAACACAGAGGAATTAATGAAAAGGACGGAAATTACTCTTGGGAATAGAGCGAAGTGATTGGTTAAGCTGAAGAGTGACGCCCCCGGTCACTTATTGAGAGGAGAGAGAGTAATAACATGGGAATAGAAATACATGAATGAGTAGAGACGGTCTTCCTGGTTGAACTTGCGCTGAGCTTCATATAGTATCATACATTTATGAACTCAGCCTTAAAGCAATATTTGGCTGATTTAATAGGATATGATCAAATTCATATTTTTTTATTTACATGAATTAAGTTATTTACATATGTCTTTTGTAACCTTTAATTTCCCCATCTTATTTTTTTTTTTCCACATTCAAGTATCTTATTTTGTTTTAGTTGCCATGTCCTGTTTAGCTATAATGTCGTATTTCTTTACTAAGATACTATCTCAGTAAAGAAATACGACATTATAGTGGCGGCTGGTGGAAAATATTTTAGGTGGGGCTGTGGAAATGGTGATCAAACAATACTAGAGGGGTCCGGGGGGATGCTCCCCCGGTAAATTTTTTTGAGAAAAGACCCCTTAAATCATGACTTCTGGTGATGTTAGAGGGGGGGAGAAGGACAATTTGAGGCTTAAAAATATGAGAAGACTGATCAATACCTCCATAACTTCAGTGTGGTTAGCTATGAATCTTCCAAAACTTGAATACTATAATAGTATTCATGTATCTATTAATTATTATATAACACTAAAATAAAGCTATTCTCATAATTTGAAAGCTGCTTCAAAGTTATGGACTTGTGTAGATTAATCTGAAACTATTTAATAAATTGAATATTTATTGAATTAATAACTACAAAACTATACTCTTTAAAATAAAGTATAACGGATGAGAAATTAATAAATTAATAGCAAATGAGTTCAATCAATGCAATGATATGACGATTAAGGAACGGAAGTTGAACAGATTTAACGGTTCTCATTTACACATACATAACTTGAACGCAACGCGACCAAAATCACGACCAAAAACTGAGTATTTTGATTTAACTTTGTAGGGTTTTCTTATAAACAAGGGTTTCATTTAGAAAACAGGAGAATGGCTTTTCACGGCTTGTCCTTGGCTTCACTGAACCTAATCCCAGTGCTCAGTGATATAAGTTCCAAGGGTCGAGGTGGACACTTCTTCTTGAAAGGTAAGCCAAAGCTAAGGTTTACTAGTGAGCTAACGGCGAATACATGTCTATTGAATGTGCAGAATTTGTATTGTAGAATGGGAACGGTTGCTTGTTTTGGGGCGGAGTGTCGTTTTTTAATAAGTAATTTCAACGCTAACTTGTGGAGTTAAAACTGGTTCAACTAACTGAGGCTAGCGGTCGAGAAAGCTAACTCGTGGTGCCTTCACGCTTAGTTAAAACGTTGTATTCACCTGCTAAAGATTAATCTTGTCCGCATTTCGAGAGGTATACTGAGCTCTGTGTATTTTACTACAAGACAACTGCAAGTATCTGGTCAGAAATGCCTGAGGTTGATACTACTACTACTACTTTGACAGAAAAGTCTAGAAACAAGATAATAGGGAAGGCAGCATTTAGTGCATGGAAACATGTTCATTCAGTTGTTATTACTTGTATGAAATACGCTTATTAAGTAAAAGTAGTAATACGACAATGTAGAGGAACTCTGTTACAAGTAAAAGTTAAGCATTACAAGTACGAAAGTACTGGTATTAGTACAACAACTCTACGTATTATGCTGAATGGTTAAATAGATAATAATATAGGCCTATCAGTTTGTTTATCTGTATTTTGTATTATTAATGTGAATCTAAAGAGTAATTACAGCTATCAGATAACTGTAGTGGAGTAAAAAGTACAATATTTTCAGAAAGTGATAATACTGAAATAAAGGAGGTAGGCTATAAGAATGTATGAGATAAACTAAAGATTCTTCCTGTTAGAGCCCTGTATTGTGTATCAAGTGTGTTGTTACCAATACCTGATGCCAGGAAGTGCTTTTCCAGGAGAAGAGTCAGACGAGGCACTGCACCTCCTTCTGTGGAGCGGGTCTAATGACAGAGTGGACCTCTGAACACACACACGCACACGCACACGCACACGCAAGTATCTGGTCATAAGTGCCTGAGGTTGGTACTACTACTACTTTGACAGAAAAGTCTAGAAACAAGATAATAGGGAAGGCAGCATTTAGTGCATGGAAACATGTTCATTCACTGAAATAAAGGAGGTAGGCTATAAGAGTAACCTTGAATTGATTATTACATTTAAGACTTTTTTAATTTTTTAAGTTTTGGGGTATTTTATCTGTAATAATGCAATCTTTATGACTATATCTTTAATATAAATGAAGTAACATAAAGTGTTAATATTGAAGCAAAGTATAAGAACCTCTAAATTATACTTGATTAAATGTACTTATTCAAATTCCACCACTAACCAGGTTAAGCCATTACACCAAACATCTCAAGCCGTGGATTCACAGAGGATTCTCCAGCATGTCTCACACCGGCCCCCCCGTTGTCTCCGTGCACCCCTCTCGGGCTATGGTGGACGAGGCGTTCAAAGTGCAGGTGGAGAATCTGCCTCCAGGATCTCCAGTGACCCTTCACTCCCTCCACCAGTCCGAGGACAAGGACTACTGGGAGGCCTTCGGGCACTACTTCAGTGATCACAGAGGCACTGTTTCTGGTGAGGTATCCTCTTTTTTATCTCCTCAAACTAATGTTTACATCTTTACCCTTACTAGGGACATTTTTAGCTTTTAATTTTGAAACAGCTTTGTTTAATAATATGAGTTTATTTTATTTATAAGTTCAACATCAGCTCCTCCTGTACTTCCGTTTACAGCCAAATTGCTTGTTAATCTTTGTTGTATTGATATTTTAATGCTTCTTTTAGTTGCAGATGATTTGAGTTGTGGGGGAACTTACACAGGGAAAGAAGCCATGGGATTGTTGTGGAGTATGCGTCCTGTCCCAGGCAGCCGGGAAGGCCTCAGGTAATACACCTGCAGAGGGACTGAATCTAAACATTAGCCAAGACATTTATTTTAATTCAAGCTTATTCAGGTTAGGATTGCAAGCAACCAAACTTTAAACGCTTGCTTTTTGAATGGAGTTCATATCAATTTCCTAAGCTAATATAAACATTACATACAATATATAATATTTGCTTATATATTTGTTAATAATAACAGTACATTTAATTGATAAAGCGCTTTTTTGAGTACTCAAACATACTTTCATTTCATACAATAATACAAACATGTTTACAGAAAAAAAAGAAAAGAAACGTGAGATAAAATTAAATTAATTAGAAAATACATAACTATCAATAATACAGAACTCATAAATGATCAAATTATTGTATGTATAACATATAACTGCATTTATAAACTAGCAAATTCACTCTAAAAACGGAACTAAATTAAAATCTTTTTACCCGTCAGGTTGAGAAAGTTGAACGTGTGCATCCCTCAGCTAGTCAACATCTCGGTGTACAGTGGACATGTTGGGGGGGGCTTCAGGGAGCAGGATCCTCTGGCCTCCGCGCTCACAGAGAGATGGTACATGGCTCCGGGGGTCCGGAGGATCGACATCAAAGAGAAAGGAGTGAGAGGGACCCTGTTCATACCCCATGGTAGGTACACCTGCCTCAGCTAAATAACTACCCTTCATTTGGTTAGATTATAGCATAATAAGTGATCTGTTTTATTTTGTCTGTGCGTGCTTCAGGGCCAGGCCCCTTCCCCGGCCTGTTGGATATGTGGGGGGGGCGGCGGGGGGCTGCTGGAATATCGTGCGGCCTTGCTGGGTTCTCACGGTTATGCTTCTATGGCGCTGGAGTATTTTAACCCTGCAGAGGTTAACACAGCAGAGTTAGAGCTCAACTATTTTGAGGTTTGTTTTGGTTATGATATTCTATTAATATACTATATTCAGACTTCATGTGTGTCAAAGACAAGTATCAAACATTCTTGTTTTTCTCCAATCATCTATACAGACAGCGTTTAATATCGTCAGGGACCATCCTCAGGTGATGTCGGACAGAGTTGGACTTTTTGGACTGTCCCTCGGCTCGATCGTGAGCATCTCCTTGGCAGCTTGGAGCAGCGTCGTCGAGGCAAGTGACAAATGTAGCAGCAATAGAACAAAACAACTACAATCAGAAGTCTTGGCTGTTAGACATTGTGCAACAGAGGGCTGAACATTTTCAAGTTTGAGATTTGGCCCTGATAACAAACTGTGATAACTCTCTTTGTGTTCTGTTCCAGCCTCGTTGCTGTGTTTGCATTAGTGGCAACCACACACATGCACGTGGGGGGACCATTGGAGGTGTTTTCAATGAGTTCTTCAAGTATGTACTCTGTTATTTTGTCAGTCACAGAACTACAGTACTCAAAAGCTGGACTGATGGGAACAATTATTTGTAATAACAGGAACTTACACAAGATGCGCATGGATGAGAACAACTACGAGATTTGGCGAGGTATGGGCCTACCGATTCCCGATGATATCTCACAGAAAGTGGACGTAAGTACTTGTTGAACTATGGTGTCCAAGTCATCAATGACACATTTTTCAAAATTTTCGTACGCCTAAAGTGCTAACATGTTTTGCTTCTGCAAGATAATCTCCACATATTAACAACACTTTTATAAATGTTGAAACCTTAATGCAACCTACAGAAGCAGAGATCTAATTGAAAGCAATAAACTAACTACATCTAGGTCACATGACTTCACCACCGCTAAGCTAAAGGTGGCTAATGATAAGCATGATGACGTTTAGTGGTCTCATTTAGGCACTTGTTAGTAAACGCTATTTTGAACACACATAGAAGCTTTAGAAAACTAGTTGGGTATTTACTGACACGTTTTATGTCGTAAAAACAAAATGTTAAAATCTCTTCAGCTTCTATTTACTGCAGAATTTATTTTAGTCCTCTAATCGAAAGAGAAAACTTTGAGTTTGAGACGAGGGAACAGAAATTGCTAAAATGCTAACACATTTACGGGTTTTAGTTGCAGTGCCCTTCATTACTATCGCTTTTTGTATTGATTACTATTGCTTTATTATGAAAAGGCATATTGAAGTTGTTCTTTGTGTATTCTCTTTAAGGTTGGGAAAATAAATTGTCCGATATTGTTGGTGAACGGCGATGATGATCAAAACTGGCCCACAGTGGAGTCTGCTGAGGATGTGAGAACACACACACACATACCTATGAGTACCTTAAGAAGCACTTCACAAATATATTTTTTAATTATATTAAGTCATACACACATTTGTAAATATTTAATGTTATATATTGAACAGTGTGCACATTTTTTCTTCCATACCTTCTCTTTACATTTTGGAAGTTTTTATCTGACCTCAGATGGCACAGATGATGCGTGCAGCAGGAAACGAGCACCTGCTGACGAGACTTGAATACCCGGATGCTGGACATCTGATTGAGCCGCCCTACTCCCCTCACTTCAGAGCTACTAAGTTTATAAAGGATGGACAGAAAGGTGAGTTATACAGGGTCCCACATGATACACAGGCAGTGAAAGCCTCAATGACAAACTCCCAGGATCCAACGCTACATCACTGCAGCAATAAACAACATTTTTGTTGACTATAGTGAACAATTCTATTTGCGTCCAGGTGAAAATAGTCAACACTACGGTGTGTGTGTATATAGCCAAATTGGCAATTTACACCCTGGTTGTATATAGCATGGCAGAGACACATGCAAACTGTTATTTAATAATTACATTAGAGGTTGGCTTGAATAGCCAATTACATAAGGTGTAGCTATTTTCCTCCGAGTGCAAATAGATACATTATTATTTTAGAATACCCTGGTGTTGATGTTAGAAGTAACTGCTATAATCAGGGTGCGTACGGGTGCTGGAAATCCTTGAAAATGCTTGAAATTGTACGAGGTGTTTTCAAGGTTTGAAAAGTGCTTGAATTTTGGGAATGGTGCTTGAATTTGGGATAAAGTGCTTGAAATTGTAAATGCTTTACTTCGCTTTTTAGATTAAAAGAAAATAAAGAAGTCGGAGCGCGCTTAATTGCTTCGCTTTTACATAAAACAGCTCCGCTCCGGCCTTCCCGCGCAATGCGCGTGACCGGCAAGTGTTTTTGTTACGTGTGTGACCTGGGCATTCTGATGAGAGTGATAGATGACAGTATGCCAGGAGGTTGCCGTGTCAACGAGCGTTGGCTAGCAGAAGACAAATACAAGCCATGGCTAAGACGAGGGTCAAGCGAAGCCCAAGAGTAGCCTCCTGCAAAGTGTGCAACAATAACGATGCGAGAGTCTGCGCTGACGAGCCACACACCACACAAAAGGTACGCTGTCGTAGAACATTTTAGATTAGGCTATCGTTGCATGTAAAATACATGACACTTTTCTCTGTGCGCGGCAAAACAAGCTCGCCAAAATGGCTTCACTAGTCTGGCAGTATTTTAAGTGTCCGAAAATGACAATAAAATAGCGGTATGCAACGTGTGTGAAGCAGAAATCCTGCAGCTCCACCCGCTGTGACGGACCGGTGAGCGGAGCAGAACACACATTAAGAGTTAGACCTAACACACTTAGCTATTTTATCTACCTCTGGAACAAGCTAAACTAGTTATGAATATATTTATTCTTCACTGTCGGGTCGCTCATTACTGGATCAGTGAGCTGCAGGAGATACTGACGGGCTGTCAGGAGAGAGAGAGAGGGGGAGAGAGGAATAGAGAGCGATATCGGTATCGGTAGCATCCCTAATAATTGTATATGATATGTTTTATAATGATTGATCATGAAAGTGTTATCAAAGCTGGTAAAGGTGCAGCTAGTTTGAATGACTTTGTATACTACAGAGTAGCTTGTGAATTTACTCCAGGTGGAACTAAAGTCTGATTTAACACTTGATTATATTTCACATCATTCATCCACATCTGTAAAGTAACTAAAGGTATTAAATACATGTAGTGGAGTCAAAGTACACCATTTACCTCTGACTTGTGTTTACTGCCAACCTAAAAGTACCTCAAAAATAGTAATCAATAATATATTGAAAAGTTATTTGGCTGATTGTTTTATATTGGCTCAGCCAGGTTATATGGGATGCCCAGTCTACGTACAGATGGGTCACTCATTTTGAAATATTAAACTTAGTTTTCTTTTCTAACATTTTTAATCTTTCATCCTCATGTAGAATGCTATTATGAAACACACATTTG